GTAAATTCAGATTGACATCTCCATTTTTTTTAACAAAAGAGTAGCTGGTATTTTAAAGGCCAATACATGAACAGATTGCTTTTCCTCTAGACATGTACATAAACTAAAAATGGTGTTAAGTCTTTAAAATACCAGCATTCAGGGGATGGGTAATGGGATACACAGCGCCTTTCAACTCTAGTTCATAGGTATAAATACAGCTCAGGTTGATCATGACCAAAAATCATTATCATCTTATAGATGTTTGTTAGCCTATCCAAAAGATATGGTGGATTCAATCTGCTTTCTAGTGGACAAATGACCACATCAAAACCACCATCACATCTGGCACCCTCACTGGTCATCTCCATAGAATGAGTAAGTACTGAAAGGGCCTAGAAATAAGCCTGACGATAGTAGCTTCATATATCACTTCAACCATCAATGCCACATATTCAACTTAATTCTTTTGTAGAAGATTGTCATCTTCAGGTGTATAAAGAACAGGATAGAAAATAATATGGAAAATGTTATAATATCATTAAATAAACTGATGATATACCTCAAGTGGAATATTGAGTTCAGTTCTGGTTACCCCACCTAAAAAAGATACAGCAGAAACAGAAAAGGTCCAGAGAAAGTCAACAAAAATGATCCAACGCATGGAAAGACTTCCATATGAAGGGACTGTTTAGTTTACAGGAGATATGAATAAGAATGGCCTGGAAGAGGTGTATAAAATGATGAATGTTATATATTGTGGGTTCTTAACCTAGGGCTCGTGACCTCCAAGAACAGTTGCAAACAGGTTCCAGAGGGTTGTGAATATCCTCCTTTCCTTTATAGCTAAATTAAAGGGAATAAGGCAATGTGGGGGTCCTGACACCTTTTTCTGTTGTAACAAGGGGTCAAAGCATGGAAAATTTGAGAACCACTGGTGTAGAATGCTGTTATTTAATCTCTCTTTATAGAAGAACGAGGGCATATCCAATTAAATTGAAAGGCAATAAATTTTAAACTGGTAAAAGGAAATACATATAAGCATCAGATGCCATATGAACATTCTTTCACTGAATGTCGCTAAAATGGGTATCTTCCTACTGTTCTTTGGAAGAGAAACACCTCTATTGGAGCTTTTAGCTAATCTATATCTTTTACCCATTATATCCATAATCTTGGAGTCATTCTTGATCCCACGCTCATTATAAGTTCTCATAGGGCTATACTGCAAGCCTGCCTATCATTTCCACAACACAGCCGCCCATTGGCTACGGTCTTGATACTCACTCTGGTTTCTCATTCATCACATCATAGAATCACAGAAGAATCATAGAAGATTAGGGTTGCAAGAGACCTCAGGAGGTCATCTAGTCCAACCCCCTGCTCAAGCAGGACCAACCCCACTAAACCATCCCAGCCAGAACTTTGTCAAGCCGGGCCTTAAAAACCTCTAAGGATGGAGATTCCACCACTTCCCTACGTAACCCATTCCACTGCTTCACCACCCTCCTAGTGAAATAGTTTTTCCTAATATCCAACCTAGACCTCCCCCACTGCAACTTGATACCATTGCTCCTTCTTCTGTCATCTGCCACCACTGAGAACAGCCGAGCTCCATCCTCTTTGGAACCCCCCTTCAGGTAGTTGAAGGCTGCTATCAAATCCCCCCTCTCTCTTCTCTTCTGGAGACTAAATAAGTGCATTTCCCTCAGCCTCGCCTCATAAGTCATGTACCCCAACCCCCTAATCATTTTAGTTGATTACTGTACCTCCCTCCCTCTATGGTTTCCCAAAGTCATGCATACCCAACCACCAGTCTTTCTAGAACATTGTAATAAGTGTGACCACTCATAGGTAAAAACACAACCATAATACACCCATCCTGAAAGACTTCCACTGGCCTCCAAAATCCCCCCCCAACCATTAAGAAATTGCTCTCATCTTCAATGATTTTCATAGCTATGGTCCTACCAATTTCTCTCTGAACTCCCAAATACTCTGTCAACTCAATCATCCTTTCAGACCCCCCAGTCGCTATCTTCCTATTTGAAGTCAATACTTTTTTGACACTGCACTAGCTATCACAAACAGTGTACTCACTATCTAGCTAGTTATATCATATTCACCACCTTGGTACCACTCTCTACTTCATGGACATAATTGTTTTGGAAATGCAGCTCAAAACCTACCTCTTCTTTGCAGTGTTCAACAATCATCCCACTAGTTAGTTCCATGTACTGGCACATGTTCCCATCACCTCATCACACTTCCTATGTACTGCCCCCACCTAGGTAAACTAATTATAGTACTGACTTATAACACCTATTGTTGTATTTGCCGTGCACTATGAAATACATTGTTTATGAAAGATATGTAGCAATATTACTCTGTAGGCATTGTAAAGAGATGGTCCTTCCAATGAAAATTTAAGGCAGAGTGACAGAACTGAGTGGGGAACCATGCACTGCTGCCAAATGTGCTGTATCTGTCTTGTGGAGAAATAAAGGACCTCAGTTTCAACAGTGATGAAATTATCATCTTTCCCAAAAGTATCCTACTTTTGCACAGATTCTACCACCCCTGCTCATACTGATTGCTTCCTTACTCTGTGAGTAGCCTCGCTGCAATCAATAGGGATACTTGTCGAGCAAGGTACCAATTAACATAAGCATGAGTGACAGAAACTGACCCTTTTTAAAAAAGGGCTCTGTGTATTTAATTTTCTGTTTCTGTTTTATATTTTACCAGTTTATGTGGCATTTAAAGGGCCAGTTCACAATATCGCAATTTCAGATACCAAATTAAGTGGTATATCTACTGGATGCAAAGTAACAAAAATATTGCACATCACTTGTTTTCTTGAAGTATTTGGAGCAGACATACAAAAGTAACAAAAGGACTGCCAAGCAAATCTACAGTTCTAGTGTTATACCAGGTACATCCCTCAAGAGACTTTAAAAATATTTCTCAGCTGTCATTATGAAAACTAACATTTTAGTGCAACCAAAAAAAAAAAAAAAATCTGGCCTGATATTGCAGACTGTTACTCACATGAGTGCACACATTTAAGTCAGTAAGGTCTACTTGCATAAGTCAGGACTACATGTGTGATTAAGCATCTGCAGGTCTGGGCTCAACGGTAGCATAAATAATGAAAACATATATTATCTAATCAGAAATATTGATTAAATATTCAAATTGATTTGATAATGCTAGTGATCTAGTCAAGTTTTCTAGGTTCATATTTAATGCTTACTGATCCATTAAGTTGTATCAAAAACATTAACATTTAAATAGATTGAACTGCCTTCAGAGCTGGGCACCCGGCCAGCAGCCACCACTCTCTGGCTGCCCGGCTCTGAAGGCAGTGCTGCGCAGCAGCTCCTAAGTAAGGGTGACAATACCACTACCCCCCTACAATAGCCTTGCGACCCCCTTTTGTGTCAGGACCCCCGGTTTGAGTAACACTGGTCTCTCTCATGAAATCTGTGAGTAAAAGTACACAAAAGACCATATTTCACGGTCCGTGACATGTTTTTCACGCCCGTGAATTTGGTAGGGCCCTAGTAATAAACATGATTAATAATAACATTAAATGAATGAGAATTATCTAAAATCTCATACACCTTTTATTTATTTTTTACTACCAAATTGGAAATGGAGAACATTAATAAAATAGAAATAGACCAGAAACCTTAAGGTTTCATCTAGAGTAATTTTATATTATAACCGAACAACACAAGAACATATGATAAAGGAGTATTCTAAGGTTAAAAATAATATTAAAAAACAAACAAATTTCTTTACTGTGTTACTAATGTTGCCTTGGATTGTTATATTTGAAATAATTTTTAAATCTAACCTTTCAAGATTTATATTTGTTTAGTCTTTGCATTTCATTTAACAAACATAATAAAAATTGACTCATCACTTTCAGTATCTGGTTCTCGGTTACAAATATTTTTACTTTCAGGTTCTTGTTCACTAGCACAACATTGCAATTTGTGGGTTGCAAATCCTGCAGGAGAATGTTTAAATCCAAACAAAAACTGTTTACATTGAAATTTCCACTCTAACAATTTCATGAAAACATTTCTGTTTTTGCTAAACCTTCTTGGTACAATATCTACACTCTCGGCCTAAACCTATATATCAGTGTCACTTTCAATAATATCTCATGAATGGAAATGTACTGCAAATACTGTTATATCAAGACAGTTCAGTTACACAACAGATCTAAAATGGCTTCAGCATATTTACTCTATCACACCATATGTGAGGCTGTGGTCTCCACAACAAAACCTTTACACACTGAAGTCATTATCTCTATGAAGTCTGCAACTGGCATTTAAAACTTATTGATGGCCTGGGTATTGGTGGCTCAGTAGGCAGCCCTCTTGCCTGAGGCCCACAAGGTCACTGGTTCACATTCTGCTTAGGAAAAAAGCTGGACATATTCCAGAATTGTGTGTGGGCTGTGCTAGGCTCCTGGAGGGGAAGTCCTTAGGATAGTAAGTGAAACCCTGTCTGTTTTGTGCATATCAAGGTTCTCATGGTAATGGAAGAGGAAAATGGGTAAGAAATGTAAGTTTAATATGCCTGGAGCAAATGAGTGTACATGTTGAAGATCCTGCATTCAACTATGTAAGCACAGAATGGTAGAAGAATAACATAACCTCCATATTTTTGGACTTCTTCACAAATCATTTCTGACTTTGTATTAGGCATGTTTGCAAGAGACATGTTCAAAGACACCACTAAACATGATCATCATTAACTGATTTCTTTATACTTGCTGGACTGATCTGGGATTCAGTTTCACACTTTGGGCCTGTGAAAAATGTATGCATAATTTTGGTAAGTAGGACGTTTAATCAAGAAATTTTTAAGATGGTAAAAACTTGTCACATACTGCAATCTGTCTGTTGACATTACAATATGCATCAAGGAAAAATCTTCAGCAAATATTAAAATCAGTACTGGCAACTGATTTAGAAAACAATATAAAATTAAGATTCAACCTGCTCTGGTGTTAATCTTTGATATGTGATTATCCCAGATGTCTCTCTCTTCCTCCTCCTCTTTATAGACAGGTAAAGATGGATCTCTTGAAGGAACTGGGGATCACACTCTAGGCAAAGGTTGGACAGGTGATCAATGTACAGCGTGAGATTTGCCATGGCTATGTGCCTCCAACAGTGACTGGATCATCTAGTTTAAAAAGACAACACATTCAAAATTGTAATATTTTATTTAAAACATGCATAAGGGAAAAACAAGTATGGGGAGAAATAGTGTATTTGAAGAACCAGAAATATATCCAGATGACCAAACTTGTCATATTGTAAATTAGCCCATTTCATTTATTTCCCTTTTTAATATTCTGTTGCCTTAATGATTTAACTCGAGAGTCAGGATTTATTGTCCAGCATCCCAATACCACTGATTGGATGTGTCCAACAAGGTGCTAAATTGTTCTTGTCATCTTTAGTTTCCTGCTTGTATCTCTTCAATGACATCTGATGCAACTCTGAAAAGTGGCATGCATCACCAGTACCATGAAAAATCAGGGATTGATTCATTGAGCTAAATGGGCTTTGCATCAGGACTTTAGTAAATAAAATGAGATTTCACTCAGCAATGCCCTAGAAGGCAACTCTAAATCCAGTCTCATAAGAGTGCAACACATTGATTCTGTCAGCTGGCAACTCCAACTCTGATATAGTAAATAACTGCCTTTTTTTTTAACATGGGAAACCCAAATAACTGTTAATAACCTGGATCCTTAGGTTTAGCTTTGGCCAATGTTCATTTTCTAGATGGAAAAACTATGATGTATTTAAGCAACAGCTTTTGCACAATTAAAAGGGATCATGAATGACCAGCATCACAAAATCTTTAGGGTATCACCAAATTCCAGAGTAAGTGATAAGATTCACCCCGAAAAAAAAAAGACAGCATTACTTATATTTTAGAAAAAATAGCTTAATATAATCCTGCTGCAAATCAGCAAATGTTCTAAGGTAAAACAAATTCATTTTTTCTCTAATATATAACAAGAAGCCATTTCATAGAGGAGTGAAGGATATCCTCTTAACCTGTGATAACAAATTTGTTTGTTTTTTTCTCTTCTTAGTAAGAAAGCAATTAGATTTTTCCAATAAAAATATCCTTGTGCATATATAAACACTACTGGTAATCACGTAATTACCTTACCCAATCAAATTAAATTGCTGTCAGTTGAGTTCCCACTGCTGATTAACTTTCGTATATTTTAAATCTAAATGAAGTCTTTGGTAAAGTGCACTTAGCCATTTACAAAGGTGTCTCTATGATTCTACAAGGCATAACAGCAATATATTATTTGCCATAATCATCCAATGTTCAAGGTCAAGGATAGCTCATACTGAACCCCTTTTATAAAGCCTTAAAGAAACACAGAATTAAACTATGTTGCTTATTTTTGTGTTCTTTGCCATAACTTCTAAATGTAATAGTAACCTTTGACCCCCACACATTAAACACTGTAATTATGTAATTAAAACTAATTATGTAATTTATCTTACATATTTTTATCCTACAGGAGGCAGGTCAATTACTTCACTTGTTGACCTTAGAAGATTTCACAATTTGAAGCGTAACAACAAGGCTTTAAATTAATTTTAAAGTACAAGTAGAAAAGTACACTACATCTACAAAACTCATCAAATGAATATTATGGAAGCACTTACAAATCCTTATACTTTATATTTTGTAAAATAAATCTCTTGATGATTATTCCATTCCCTTATGTATCTTCCATAATTAGAAATATTAACATATTATTTATGGACAAATCTTACATACAGTACCTGCCAACTGTAATTGCCTGTGGCCAAACTGTGTAGGGGGGTTCCATATTTCCCTTCCGTCTAATCTGTCCTAATTTCCTCTCTTATCATACTCTCTTCTCCCTACCGTTTTCCTTTAGTCTGCTCTGCATTTCTTTCTCTTCTCTCTTTTCCACTTATACTCTCATACCTTTTTCTTTCCCTTTTTGTCTTCTTTGTTCTAACTTCTGTATCCCATCACCATCAGCAAAACCTGTTAGTAGGTGAAATATTCTCTCAGTGCCGTAGCTGTACTACTGGTCTGTTCTCATCCCCACCCGCAATGCTGCGCTGGCATTTCACATCAGCTAATGACCACCCTGCACTTTTAACCAGGGGTGGGGGGGGAGGGGGATTTGGCTGTCTGGCTGGCTGAATGACGGGAACTCTGCTTTATGGCTTGTGGGGGAGGAGATAAAAACTGCTGCAAAAGGGTCAGTATGGTTGCTGACTCATCTCCTGGGAATGAGGGGCTTAAAAGGGGCAGACCTGTGCCTTAACCCTCCCTTTTTCGTGGTGCAGGCTGAGGCGGCACAGACCCTTCCTCCCCTTTAGGTGGTAAAATACTAGGTTTGGTCTAGACCTGCTGTGGGCATTACGCTAGCCGCCCCTTTGTTGAGAGGGGCTGGGACAGAATTTTTCCCTTGCTACCATATTGGCCTAGGTGGAATTGGGTTTTTTTGCCTTCCCCACAGCAAGTTCAGGTGGGCTCTGTTCATGCATGGCATGAAGGGCAGCAGGCCATATGTCACAACTCATTATTTAAGTGTAGGGTGGATGTCCAGTGCAGGTACTCCATAGGAAAGGCAACCAGTGACCGGATAAATGGCTTGGAAAAGGACTTAAAAGGTGTTCGGTAAAGGAGCAAATAGGGGGTGGTTGGGGACTCCTATGATTGATACAGCAGGCAGCCAACCCCCATTATTATAGCCCACCTTAATTCTCCTGCGAGGGTGGGGGGTGGATGGTAAGGTTCCAGCAATGGATTTGCTAGAGGGACCTGGATGGAAAAAGAGGGGGAGCCGGGGAAGCCCCTGGGTATGGCAAGGTCCCAGGAATGGATTTGCTGGAGGGACCTGAATGGAAAAACAGGGGGAGCTGGTAAAAGCCCCCCCCCGGTAATTATGGAATAAACATTGGGGTTACCTGCACTGTACACTTTTATCTGCAGGGTAGTCCCAGACATCTAATAATACAGGTGCGGCCTCATTAAACCCATGTCAAATGTCTCCTGTCCTTCTTTTGGTATAGCCAGACAATGGTTGGAGTGGCTTCTGGTAGTAGTGAGTCAGCAAAGGGAAGGAGTAGTGGATTAGAGGCAATCACAGCGAAAGCAAGAAAACATGGTACAGTTTAAAAGTGGGCCTCTCAAATGTACCATGTTTTCCAGCATGAGAAATTTGGTACCACTGAAATACATACAACTAAATTATTCAGTGTGTATCAATTCTTTAATACCATCTTTAACCTTTTTGAGAAGTACACACAGCATTATAAGTTTTTAAAAAATTACATTTAAGGCACATACAGTACCTCTTGATGCATGAGGAAATCCTCATTTTTGTGGTATGGTAAAATGATGATGATCATCATCATAAATCAACCATTTTTAACTTTTCAGTAAACTAATTCCTATGTAATTTTGGTCAAAACTGTCTCTCAACAGAGAAAGGCCAACTGACAAAGTAAGCAGGCATGTATGCCTGTATGCTCTAGCTCATTAAGGGCCAGACTGTGATTCCCTTACTCAAGGAATAGTACCTTACATCACAAGTAGTCTCTCTGAATTCAACAAGTAGTCTCTCTGAATTCAACAGAGTTAATTGTAGAGCCAAGCACTAGACAATCTGTCCCTAAATTTGCTCTGTTTACGTTTTGCTATGTATGGGGATCAATTTATACTTTTACAGAAACCAGTTACTGGCAAATTCAAGGTAGCTATAAGTCTTTGCCATATGCCAAAAAGTAAAGCAAAGATAGCTAAAACTGATTTCCTTACAGAAGCATTTTTGGTCATGCATCAGTTATATCAGACACACCATCTTCCTTTGTATTCTCACCTTAGAAGAGGCTGACCACAGTGAAAGAACTAATGAAGGCTGCGTACAGACAGGTTGGACGGATATCAGTTAACCTTTGACATAATAGGAACCAAGATCAATGAACTCAGAATAGAGAGTTATAACAGGAAAAAACAACTTAAGAAGATAGCAAACCTGACTTCAGCAGGAAATCATGAACTGTAGCTGATTTATATAATATTAAAGTACCATAAAACTTTTGGACAACAGATCAAAGGAGAATATATATAAATATATATTCTACCCAGGGGAGTTGAGGAGACTGTTCCTTATGCTTTCCTTTCCCTTCTGTTTTGAAAAAGAACATTAAAACTCTGAAATCAATATATGTTGTCCCAGCTTAGAGAACCTCACATGGAAGAAAAAGAATTTGCAAATGAGACCAAATATGGTGCTATTGAAAAATACTGGATTAGAGGAATTGGGACAGAATCCTACAATTGGCCAAATAGCAGCAGGAAATCAGCTTCTAAAACAGCAGGATTCAGTTCTTTCCAGACGTGAGTGACATAATACAGGCAAAACAAGGGCACTTTTAGCAGATAGATATATGCTTTGGAAAAAGAAACTGATGTAGAACTTACGGGTGATTTCTCTAAACCCAGTATACATTTTGGAAGATTATGTTGTATATGGGTAACACGGCATTACATTTTTAAGACAGGAACAAAGAAGAATCATCTCAATGTGGGATACGTATGACTATATTCTGAAACTGCTGCATCAGGGGGATAAAGCCAAACACATTTTTGATACTTTGGCTGCTGTAGAAGCATGTCTTCAATCTTTTGCTGGACAATTCCCTGTCTATTAATTTGAATATATATGCAAATATTAGTCCAAAATGGCTGAGTTATCTGGAATGAATCAGTAACAGAGTGTCTATGTAACTTTTACTGATTATTCATGTATTTTGTGTTATAGTATTCATGGAAATGAACATTTAAAGGTTCTGCAGGGAACAGTTTTGCGTTTGCAGAAAGATGAACTGGATAATCTTACAGCTCTTAGATACCACAATAAAAGGTGTTATATGAAAACAGAAGATCAATAGACAGATCTTTTCCATTTCCAACTTCTCTATGATTCTATGAAATTTTACTTTTCTTATAAACTCCTATTTTCTCAGAATGTTCCATTTGGGGGCTGAGATTCCACATGCTTTGTCTCGTGCCAAATGTAATATTTTTGGGAAAAGCTTGAAGAAAATCCATTTAGATGTTTTTGAACTAGGTAACTGAGAAAATTCTGCTTACAAATT